GCCCAAGATCACACAATTACTAATTGTGGAGTCAAGATTCAAACTCAGACAAGCTCTAGTCTCCACTTAGCAACATTTTCCTTCCATTGGACCTCAAGTGCACAGAACTGAATTCATCATAATCCTTTTGTTCAAGGCATATTGTTCATCTGTACCTGGCCCACTTTTATTTCATTATTTTTAATAATGCAATAAGCATCCACAAACTAAAACTTTTGACAACAACCTACATCTAACCATATCTCCCATTCCCCTGCCTCCCCTGAAAACCATTCTGAATCCTGTGTTTGATCCTCTGCTTTGCTTTTCATTCATTTTACTGCATCAAAATGGATTCCCATACTAAACTGTATACCTGAAAAGTATTGAATTGGCAAATGTTGTGTAATATATATTTTCACAATAACAAAATGGATTCCTAAAAAGTATGTATTTTCAGTTTAGTTGCTTTTAATTTTAAAAAGCAGGTATGTTATACGTAATTTGGGGGATTTTTGTTTCACTACAACAGACTTAACTAGTACTGAGTCACTTTAGTTCACTTTTCATTTGACTACTATATCCCTAGTGGCACAGTGGTTAAGAGCTCGGCTGCTAACCAAAAGATCGGCAGCTTGAATCCACCAGCTGCTCCTTGGAAATCCTATGGGGCAGTTCCACTCTGTCCTATAGTGTCGCTATGAGTTGGAATCGACTTGACAGCAACAGGTTTTTTATTCCAGTGGGTGATTATTCAACTGCTTTCGTAGTGATGGACATTTGAGTTGTTTCTAGGATTGTACCAGGGCTTTGAACCAGTTCATTCTGGTTTGAGCCCCTGCTGAGAACTTGCATTTCTAACTAGTTCCCAACCAGTCATACATACGAATCACCCAGGGATCTTGGGCTGCTATTTAACATTCTTGGACATGTCACCTGTTGTACATTTCTAAGAAAATCTCTTGGGTATACCTACAAGAGAAATTCAACTTTAGGATCTGGCACCAAAGTTTTCAAAAGTATTTGTAACAATTTAGAATCCCATCAGCAATGTATAAGAGATCCCGTGGACCTACTTCCTCTCCAACATGTGATGTCATGAGACTTTAATTTTTACAATTAAATAGGTAATGGGCTTGACTGGCACTTCTCTGATCACTTATGATGTTGAACATCTCTTCATACACTTATTGGTTAACGTGTTTCCTCTTCAGTGAAATATGTTAGCGTCTTTTGTACATTTGTATTTTTTTGTTATACTTAGTGATTTATACAAGTTCTTTATATAGCCTGAATACTAACCCTTTGTCAACTGGGTGTTTTGCAAATATCTTCCTCCCAATTTGCAATTTGTCTTTTCTACTTTCTATTTTAATAAAATTAGATTTTATAATCTTTTTTTTTTATACAGTCAATAAGCTCTGTGTCTTATGTACAATCTTTTACTCCCTAAGGTCTCAGATTCACCTATTCTTTCTACTGGGATTTGGGGGAGAGGTTTCCTACTAAGATCATTAACTTTTACTTAAAACACTTCAGTCCTTACTCCATCTGAAGTAGATTCTTCCCCGCAGGGATTTTATTATTTTTTCATACGGATAACCGCTTTCCCAGCTCAATCTACTGAACATGTCTTTCTTAACTGACAGCCACCTCTGTATATCAAATTTCCTTACATGCATGGGTGTTTCTGGGTTCTCTACTGTACTCCATTATTCAGTG